TGTGTGGGGTTAAAACTGCACTGTGCCACACCTTCTGTGAGTAGTAACTGTTCCTTCAGTATGGAATAATTCTGCCTTTTGTAACCCCACTTTGAATTTGGTGGAATCTTTGCTGGGTAACTTCAGTCTCTGGAGGAAGGAAACTAAAAGCCCCAACAACCCCTAGGGGGCAAAGAGCAAATCTCCTGTAAATACACTTCAATTACAGTTAACACACATTGACTGCCTCAGTGAAGACCATGAACAACTACATTTTAAGGAATTTTTAGCTGTCTCCTTCTATTTTTATTTTTATATAAATAGATTTTGTTTTATGCAAAGGAAGTTATTCGTTTACAACTTTATTGGGAGAATTTAAATTTATTTTATACCAACCTAAAAATTACTTCTGCATTCTGGCAGTGCATTTAAAAAACACACCAGAGAGAGTAAGTGAATATATGTAAGCAAAAATTAACTGAAGAAGAGTTTTTGAGTTATAAGAACACTGGGTTTGGTAGTTACAGTGGAGTTTGCTCGGCCTTCCCAAGCTGTATTTCTAAGTGGTTTCATTTATATAGTGACAACATTAATTCTTCTTTCATTGTCCTAAAGTAGGTCTTAATACAGTAAAATACTTAATACTAAATGTAGCCAAGTACATCCTTTATTTAAGGGAAAAAACCATCTTTCTGCTGGATCAAGGGGGAAGGAGTGAGCTGTGGGACAGCTGCAGACCTTGGGAGCTGGTTTTTGCTGGCTGTGAGAGGTGTGCTGCTTCTGTTTCACGAGGCCTTTGCTGGTTTGTTTTCCCTCCCAGGCTCTTGGCACAGCCCAACAAACGGTTCAAAATCCTGGAAGAGCAGAAGCCAGCACAGCCCCTCAACTACCTGGAGCCTTTGGCTCTGCTGCAGCAGCCTGGGGAGGGCTGGGGGGACACCAGTGACCCCTACACCTTTGAGGATGGGGACATCAAGTACAGCTTCACCGTCAACAAGAAGTGCAAACTGGGGGCCGAGAAGGATCCTTCGAAGAAGCCCAAGGTGATGTGTGACTGCAGAGTCCTGGTCACTGCTGCTCTCACTGGGGCTGTGCTGTGGCACAGCATTCACTCCACAGCTCTCTGGGAGGCACAGACTGTTCCACAGGTCAAAGTCAGAGAGGTGCTGTGTGTTTGTGTTTCTTTCCTGCACCAGCTCTGGGAAAAATGAATTTAATTGTGGTATTTTTGAACTGGTGTTTGCTGCATATATACATATTTTTATTTATATTTTTTTAATATATATATAAAACTACAAATTTATATCTATATTTATATAGATATTCAGCAGGCCAAGCTGAATATATATAGATAGATACATACATACATATTCAGCTTGGCCAACTGAATATCTATATGATATGAATGCAATATATATCTGTATGATAGATTGATAGATAGACAGATGGATAGACAAACAGATGGATGGATAGACAGATAGATAGATAGTTATTCAGCTTGGCCAGCAGTAAGTTCCAGATTTAAGCTAAGAATTAAAAGATTTTGAGCCTTATATTCACTTGCAGAGATGAAAGAATTTGGTGTTTTGGTTTTTTTCCCTTGTTTGCCTCAGCCTGACAGATACCTCAGTGCAAAGCTTGGGTCTCTCCAGCCCAATTTTTTTCCTGTTCTTGGGCAAAAGGAGAGTATCCTTCTGCTGAGAGGCTCTGGGAGAGGGACAGTACTGGTTTGGATATTCCCTTGGAGCTGTTTTTCCACATGGGAAAGAAACAATTTGATTCCCATTCCTCGTGAAGATACTCCTGATGTGTCTTATTCCCTCTGGAGCTGTTTCAGTGTCTGGCTGCTCACTCCCTTGGTCTTCTGCAGGCCCTCACCACACTTCACGTTCTGAAAGGTGTTTTTTCTAGAGAATTTGAGGTGGTTAATTCCCTGTACTGACTGTCAGAGTTAATTCCATGTACGTGGAATCCTTTGTAAGTCATGCACAGTGTTATTCCACGTTTTTCCTGATGTGTATGTAAACAGCAGACAGCTGTGTTCTTCTCCCTTCTTAAATTTTTTTTTGCTCCTCAATACATTTAATTTAGAGCTCTCAGTTTGGCTTGGCATAGGAAAGCAGTTGTTCTTACATATGATAATATCCATTAAAAACTCTTGGCTTTTCTTTTTTTTTGTACAGCCAGAAGATGGAATTGGTGCCAAGGAAATCCCCCCAACGGGACATTCCACACCAGTTCCTGATGGAAAAGATGCCATGTCCATTTTCAGTTCTGCCCCTAAAGCTGGTGAGTAAAAACTCTTGGATTGGCTCTGCAAAGCAAAAACAGTCAGTCAGTGCTCTGCAGTAACATCTGGAAGGAAAAATCACACCCTGAACTTCTGACTGTAACATGAGAGCTGTAGGCAGCTCCTGAGATGGAAGAGATTTTGCTTGTCTGTTTTATAATAACACAATTATATATGATTTTAGGATATCAAGTGAGCAGCAGCTCCCTTCATCCTTCAGGGGTTGCTTTACTCTTCCCTGCAAGGCTGTTCCTGGGCTCCAGAGGGGCCCCAGTGCTTCTTGCTTGTCCCCTGGGGGAGTACAACTGGGAAGAGGTGGTTTTGTGTCCCTGTGCTCCCATTTTCCCTGTGTTTCCCCCTCTCCCCGTGGCAGACACCCGGCAGGACAGCGCTGCCGGCCGGGGGGGCTCCGGGAGCCTCACCCAGGTGACGGATCTGGCTCCATCCCTGCACGACCTGGACAACATCTTTGACAATTCAGATGAGGATGAGCTTGGGGTAAGTCCCTGCAGGACTGAGGGTTCTGTAGGACAGCAAAAAGCAGGAGGAGGAGGAGGATGGAATTCTGGTGGGGAGCAATTATCCCTAAGAGATAAGGGAGAGAGTTTCCAGGCAGGTGGGCTTGGATTTTAGCTGGGAAGGATTGCTGGCAAAGAGAGGATTCATTTCAGGAGATCCCTCAAAGAGAGAAACCATCAGGGTGTGTAATTCAGGAATTTCAGCTCACTCAGGGAACACCAAAGCTCGTGTTGTCTGACAGTTGTCTGTCAGTATTTTGTGTGTGAGAAATGTGGGAAAGATCCACGTTTCGTCCACTGGTGATTTGTTGTTTCACCTCCTCTGAGAACCTGCCCAAAGACAAATTCAGCCTCACAGAATTTCAGTAACTCTCTAAAGCCACTTTTCTTTCTATTCCTGGACAACAATAGTTGCTGTGTGTTAGGAAATACAAAAGGCAAAGCGGATTTATATCCATTATGAAGGGAAAACTGCCAGGAAAGGCAAAGATTTGAATAGTTGCTATCTTCATAATAAACTAATATACCCCTAATGATACAGAAGGGGATCCTAAACTGACTGCTGGTGGATAATATGTTTAAAAGTCTAATGTCTGGTTGCTGGCAGGACTTCGGAAGTGCAGCAATTTACTTTCTGTGGTTCCACACAAGCTCCACTTCAGATGTCACAGTTAATTTGCAAATCTCCTGGAGGACTGTCCTGTGAAAATAAAAAAAATCACCCTCTTCTGTGAGATTGGCCCTAATGCTCTTCCTGTCTTGGAACTTGTATGTGTTGGGCTTAGTCTGTGCCATATTCCCATAATTGTCTTGGAGTGATCCAGCCATGGAAAGGTGTGGAGTAGCCACGAGCATTTCAAGCTCAGGCTTTGTGATAACATTTTCAATACAGTTTGTGTGTGTATAGGAATATGTGCCTGTATATATGTATCAAAATATGGGGAATGTACAGACAGGCAAATATTTCAGAGACTTTGGTGTTGAAAGAGGGGAAAAAGAAATCCAGGCTCCTTGGGGGGAGTGGGTGGGGCAGTGGAAAAGTTTTCTTTCCTGGGAAGTCGCATTGGGAGAGGCTTCAGAATTTCTAATACTTTCTGATTTTGGTAGTTGGCATTTCTCTGGAGGTGAAAAGGAAACGTATTTGTGTGAGAGGAGGAAGGTGAGACTATTTGGTGCAACACTAATGAACCAAATTACAAATTAATTAGCGGCGAGGAGGAAGAAGGTTCGATTTTTTTGAGGCTGCTATAAAAGTAAAAAAGAAGCAGCTGTTTTCTGTCCCGTGCAGTGGTGTTTGGGGAGGTTTCAGGATGTCTGACACTCTGTGGATTTGGCAGTGTGGGTGTCTGATGGTGTGCTTTCCCTGCTCCCAGGCCGTGTCCCCAGCCCTTCGCTCCTCCAAGCTGCCGCCGGCGGGCTCCGAGGAGCGGCCG